GAGTATAGTACTACCCCCCAACGTTATGGATGATTTTATGGATTTAATTTTACGTATTATACTTGAATAAATACAGTAAGTTTACTCTTAAATTATAAGAAAAATGTTCTTAATATCTGTGGCTGTGTTCGAAATTTAATTTATAAAACTCTGGCCTCTGTGTTTTTTTAAACATAAAGATCGATTCTGTGATGCACACACAGCTTCCATCTGTGACAACAAAGGTAACAATAGGAAAAAAATGATTATAATGTGTGTTCAAWACCAACATTGTAACACATTTGCCACACCAAACACATTTATCACAGATATTAAGCTCTGCACGTAACCCGATGTATGGATATGCATTCTGCTGGTGTCTGCAAGCTGTTGCAATGGATTGAGGCGGCTGGGTGGGTTCCAACCCAATCGTGTCGGTGAAAAATGATGCAATCAAGACCTGATTAAAAGCAGCTTTTGTAGAGCCTCTGTGTAGGTTTTAAATGTAAGTAAAACTGTTAAAGATTACTTAAATAAAATAGTTTWCCTGTTGAATTTTTTTAAGTAGACCAAAACTAGATTATATAAAAATGAGGTAACTCATTAAACAAGTTGTTAAAGATAATATGCTTTAAACTCCATAACTGAACTTGTAACTACAGCTTTTATTTAAAAAGATCTCATCAACCTGGATGGAATGAAAAGCTCAACATATTTTGTTGTAGACTTTTTCTTATGTTTTCTTAAGTGCCAAGCTTGATTGTTGTTAAAAGAAGCATATGTGCTTTCCGGCTCAGTTCAAAGCTTAGTGGATTTGACTCGGGTACACAGTTGACATGTAGGTTCAGACACTTGCCCCAGATGGGGGCACTGACCCTGGAGATGCCAACCATGCTGGTGACCAGAGGGGTCTGCTACTCTTCAAAACTGCCTTGAGAAAAAAAAAATCAAACACTTCACTGTGCTGCAGCTTTTTACAGACCCTGCAATCTGCTTCTGACATGGTTTCAGTTTCAAACAATAAAACAAATACCCTGCTGTGCTGAAACATTTTTCCCAGCATAAGGAGGAAATCACACACACACACACACAAACTTTGCTTAGGTTTGTTTTACAGCATGAAACAGTCATTTCCAGTGATCTAAAGTAGTTTAGTAAATGCTGAACATCTGGCCAGTTCAAAAGAATATGAATAATCCACTTAGAGAAAATTAAAACAAATGGAGTGACTGCATAATGATTTCATAASCTATTTCTTACATTAAGATTTCTAATACTTTACTGAGATAATGTGTTTATTGGTGCAGTGTTTATCAGTCAGTTACAAATTGTTCGTATCATCAAATTTCATCAAGTGCAGAACAGCATCCTTTTTTTAAGCAATTTCCTAAGAGAGTTTAGCCCCCTCCTCCATCCTGGCACCATCCTGGCAAAAACTAAATGAATTAAACCCTCATTAAATATGCATTTCATTGTTAATCATTTGCAAGCGGAGAGGATTAGTTTGCAATTTGTGAAATGACAAAATCTATCCCTTCTCAAAAATAGACTCTTTAAATTGCATTAAACAAAATACTATGATCCATGGAGCAGTCTTTTAAGCAATAAAATGAGTAATTCCCTAAAAAACATACGACAGTGACCTGAGCATAATTCTCAAAATGCAGTTGGCATATGTTTACTCCATCTGCTCAACAAATGTGTGCAAACAAAGCAAATGCAGTGTTCCAAATTATAATTTGACCTGAGCAGGTATTTCAAACTATTACCGTGTTTCATTTAACCTTTCATCATATGAAATTGAAAACGAATGCTGATGTTTGGACATGTTTAATTAATGGTAAGAGGAATTAAACAAGCCTCTTTGTGTTGCACACCACTGTATTTTCCCCCRACCTTTGTGGAAAACAAGACTGATGCTCAGCATGAAATATTGATACCAAAAAATCACCTCAAATAAGCAACTCTTCAAATATGTGAAGCACATGTAGAATTTTATAGCAGGCTGGGAGACAAGAGCCAAGACTCTCAAGCCAAGGCTGTCAAATAAAGAGGAGTGGAGGCGCAGAGAAGAAAGATGCACCACGAGAAAACACTGAATTTCCTACTATGTGTTTTCCAACCAAACAGCTTAAAAAGAAACCGAAAGAAAACACGAGCACAAACCACCAAACTGCTTTAACCTCCAATCCTCTTCTGGCTCTGATTCAGGTTCCTATTCACAGGACCCATTAACAGGCCTCTGCATTGGTTTGTCCTTCCCCTGATTACTTTCCTCATTAAAAAAAAAMAAAAAAAAAAAACAAGTTGGGATACAAAGAGAAAGCCTTCAAGGTTAAAGAAGAATGCAGGTGAGAGTACTGACAGAGCAAAACGCTGTATGGGTTTTCTACATCCTGGATTAAAAAGTAGGCATTTCATAACTTCCAAGGTCACTGTCATTCCGACAGTCAAGTGATCTAGGCGTTGGTGAGGAGGACAATCCCCACTATCTTCAAGGCTGCAGGCAACACTGCCCATGTCACCCTCATGTTTTATTCATTCTGAATGTCATATTATGGCATTCAGAAACCAAGATCAAAATCTGCTGGTAGAAATATTTAATATCGCACCACTTCTCGATCCTTCTTCATCTGGTTTGCCAGAATGAGAGAAACGAATAAACAGCCTCCTTCAGCTCAGCCATGTTGGATTATTAAAAGTAGAGATTTTCAAGCGCTTTCTGTTCAGGGAACAAAAAAGGGAAGAAAAACTGTTGCATGCATCAATTATCTTGGAGAGTTTGTGGCGCACTGAAGACCGTCTTGTCACATTTCCCAATGTGGCTGAGCTATGGAGAGGTCCTTGGCTGACACTGACATTTAGAAGCTGGTGTGGAAATCCCAGTCTGTTTGTCAAAAAATATGAATAAATAATGGACAAAAGACCAAGCTGACTGCTTGCAAAGCCCTTCCAGGCTTGAAATTCCTTCTCAATGTCATTGGCACAACTCGACACAGGCACCAGGCTCTGTCACCCTAATTTCCCCATGTGTGAACAAATGCAACTTACACTGATCAATACATGACTCACTGGCATTGCTGGAGGGAAAAGAGTCATTCCAGCAGTTCACAACGATAAATTTAACATGCTGTCAGGGAACATACTTGCTCTGTTGTTTTTCCTCATGTTTCTTTGTACCTAACTAATTTAACAGAGGTTTTGACCACAAAAAATAGTTCTTTACAGAGAAATCATGCTTTTAAATAAAGAAACATTAATCTTCCTATCTTTAAATCAAATTTTATACAGTGCTCTCATAAGCACACAGTGTATTTTAGTTCAGGGTTTCTTAACCTTTTTGACCTCGGGGCCCAATTTRTTGAACATAAAGTRRCAYGAGGYCCAGTCASACATTACCAATGTATGGATTAAAATGATAATTATTCTAAATCTTGGTTTGATTTTTATTGTATTTATATTATAACTAAATTAAATAAACTTATATTTTATAATGGAAAACTCCTGTCAAATAATCACAAGACGTGATCATGACAAACATTTTTTTTTGTAACCTGCCAATAAAATTTTTTTGAACAAAAGGTCAGTCAACAGACCACTCAGGCTTATCAACACAAATATATCTATATTTTTTTACATAAACAATAGCAAAAAATAGACAATTCAATAAATAACATTGTGGGCATAAAATACATAAAATAAAAATGTTTAAATGTTTCATATACAAAAAAAAATCCGTAAAAATAAATTTGATTAAGTACAAATGAAAATAAAGGCTTTTTTGAACTTTTGCATGGTAGAAACAGAAGCTGCTGTTCATATTAGTGACAAACAATAACAGTAACAACAGCTTTTTGACAAGTTTAAAGTTTCTTTAAAATACATTAAAATATTAAAAAAATAAACTACAAAAAATAATTTGATAGAGTGCAAATTAAAATATAGCAGTATCTGAAACTGCATTTGATAATGTTTTGAACTTTTAAAACACTGCATGACAGAACCAGAAGCTGTACTTCATGTTAGTGACAAACTTTGGCATTTTTTGATGGGTTGCCTTCATTTTTGCTTTCTATTTTTCCATTTAAAATAAGTTTCCATTTTTGGCAGGGTTCTAAGTTTCTTCTTCTACATAATAAAAAAAGTTGTAAAACAGAGTGGCGCACTACCGCTATTAGTGGTGAAAAAGTGTATTGCACCTTATTCAAAATCAATGTGGTCCTGCGGCCTAAAGTTAAAAACTGTTGTTCTTTTGAGGCCCTCACGGTGGCGCTCTTTAGTTTATTTCAGTTTATTTTCTAATAATTGGGATAATCACTGAATGAAATATGGTGAATTTGTATATATTTGTAAACAGCAGCAGGAGACAATGTTTCTGTCAACAGAATGTGAATGAATAGAAATTAGAGCATGTAGCAGAACTTTTTATGTTGGAAAACACTGAATCATCTCTATAAGGACTTTATGCTTTATGGTTTCATATGTTCCAGCCTCTCCTCCACATTAGTTTCTACTTTTCATTTCAAATTTGTCTGAAAATTCCATGAAACCCTCCTTCCACCCTCGTGCTCTTGTCCCCTGAACTCCCCCATCTGCCTCCCCGTCTCCATGGCTGCACGGAGAGAAATGGCGTACCTTTGTTCATGTCAATCAGCTGCTTCTTCTTCTGCTGGCGCTCCTGCTTCTCACGCTCAGCTTTCTCCTTCGCCAGCTTGGCTCTCTTGATCTTCTCCTCCATCTCCCTCTTCTTGTGGTTCTCCTTCACTGCTTCCTGATGAGGCACACAAACATAAACAGATAAAATCAGAATGTAGCTCCTGCCACCTCCAGTCTTTTATCGACTTCACTACTGTATAGCGTACAGAGGCAGCCGAATGCCATCAGCAGATTCCCGTTCAGCGGTGGGCTTGATAGTCTGAGATAAGTGTCTGGAATAAACAATGTATGAAATTGTGTGTATGGGATTTTTTTTTTAATATATGCCTATTTGTCAGTAACGATTTTATGTACCTTTTCACATTTTCAGTTTCACAGAGCTGATCTGTCRCAATACATCAATAAAACATTCACACATTTACACATGTGCTGTAAACATGCTGCAGTATTTCTTTCAACAATAYGGGGGGCCGTTATACTAGAAACAAATGAAATAAAGGCAAAAATGTGGCAGTCTCAGAGGAGGGAGAAAACATCCATTTTTTYCCTTTGGCCACTAGTTGAAATGTCAGGAAGGACTCACAGAAAGCGAGATAATCAACAGTATGTATTCAGTCTTTTACAAATGTGTCAGTTTGTTCTACTGCCAGCAGAGAATAAGATGCACCTGTGTGACCTTTGGAGAACACAAAATGTTTCTTATTCCAGGCCTGTGGTGCGGTCATGAAAAGGTTCCACCAAAGGTAAGTGCATGAGTGGGAGGTAATACTCATTTAAATGATTCTGTGCTCGTTTGTGTGCTTCTGCTTGTGTTCCCCCTCATGTATACATTTATGCACATGCGGAGGCAAAGCCCCTCTCTGTGCACTGACATAATAAGTGGCGACAGTAGGCCCCCGTCCACTGCCCCTGTGGCCTCGTTGAGTGTGTCGTGTTGGCAGCTAAGACAGAGGGATTATGGGGATTGTGGGAAAGGAACAAGGAAAGAGCAGCTCATCATGTCAGTCAATAGCAGAGCTTTTCTACATGTCTAAGGACAGAGACCCTCATTGTCACAGTCTCCTTGTTAGATGACAAGGGCAAAAAGAGTTGCAGAGATCGAAAAAAGACGTGGAGTAAAACTGATGAAATGAAGGAGAAATGATAAAAATAATGCTAGTCATGAAGGGGTGAGATTTTAAATCATGCAAATTATGAAAAAGTGAGAAATAAGGGATGCCTTTTCTGTGTGACTGCTGCAGGTCAGTGAACTCTCACATATCAACATGTRTTTAATCACCACATCAAGTTTTAGAAAATGATCCTGCTGCCCCCGCCACAGAATATTGATTGCATGCACGTTACTGCTGTTTRGAATGAGGTAAGTGGTGGGCTTTATATTTAGCTACAAACAGTTAACGTTTGCATTTTAAGCAACGGACAGCACTGACAGCACGTGATTCTCCATCCTCAATCACAGACAGTATCCAGAAAATTTCAGAGGAAACTCTGTGGCAACACTCAGCATCTAYGGCATCATATGGAGCATAAATAATGCAGATTACACATTAAACCCTRTCCGTAAAACTTAGTCTAAACAAGCGGGTAATTCTGACTGTAAACATGATTATGTAACATGATTCTKTTGCTCTAACCAAACACCACTAAATATCAAAGCACTAACTATGTATTCTCTCTTTCACTATTTGTCCTGATACCATTCTTTTAGACTGCCTACTTTTACCTTCAGGGACAATATATATACAGTGGGGAAAATAAGTATTTAGTCAGTCACCAATTGTGCAAGTTCTCCCACTTAAAA